CCCTGAAGTATACTTGTTCAATGATGTCTGCCCATTCAAGAATAGAGGTCCTTTCACTTGAATACACGTTTGCTGTCATTCTGTGATGGCTTAGCTAATGGGACATCCCTGTTCCTGTTGAATATTTCATTAGTATAGGTTTCTCACTTGTCGCAGTTGTCAAAAGCATCACAGTTGATATGGCTTCTTAGTCCTGAAGCTTGCATTTTTTCTGGTCTGTTGAACAGCCTCTTGTTTAGACCGTAGGATTGCAAAAAGGACAAGTGTCCAAATCGGCCGTCTCCAACATTTGTATGTAGTTTCCAATGTGCACACCTAAGTTAAGACAAGTCTAGGCTTGAATCAATTCACTTTCCGCACTGAGGCCTGCCTGAAGCTCTCTATGTGACACTTTCTAATATCCAACATTTCCTTTCCTATGTTTATTCCTTATAATGCTGTTTTGCAACTCCGGGTTATTTTTTCCATTATCATTCATAAAACACCCATATTCTCTGGGTGCTTAACAGGAATAATAATATCATTATCAACAGCAGCAACAAATAAGGAATATTGCAGTGTGGTTCCTGTTCAGTGTACCAGCCAGCTGTGCTCTTTTTGAGAACACTCCATTCCACACCACGCCCAACTAAGCATTTTGTGGCCACTGAGCAAGCTCAGTCCTCATTGGGCTGGGAGGTGGAGTCTAAAGGTTTTTTGCTACTTCTGCAAAACAAGATTTCCCCATTGTGCTGGTACCCCCTCCTTGTTTCTCAGTGGCCTGTTTTGGCTACCACCCTGTTAGCACTCATCAGCTGAGTTCACCAACTCAGTGAAACCAACAAACAAATATAGAGGTTTTTACTTTGGAGCTACATATGTGTAGGATTGCACTGTGAACAAGCAGCCGGTTTGAGGATTCTGCTTCCATGGAACTGGGTAATTCCTATGAAATAAAAATGCATTTTCTTATAACCAGGTACAGTGGTGCCCCGCAAGACGAATGCCTTGCAAGACGGAAAACTCGCTAGACGAAAGGGTTTTCCGTTTTTTGAACTGCTTCGCAAGACGAATTTCCCTATGGGCTTGCTTCGCAAGACGAAAACGACTTGCAACAAAGTTTCCTTTTTCTTAACACCTTAATACAGTTGCGACTTGACTTCGAGGAGCAACTCATAGAACGCAGTGTACATAGTAGCCTTTTTTGAGTTTTTTAAAGACTTTGGTGATTTTTGAAGCTTTTCCAAAACTTCTTTTGCAGCCATTTGGTAAGTTAAGCTTTTAAAACATTTTTGGGGGGTTTTGGATTTTGGGTTGGGGTGTTTGGAATTCAAGGACTTGGTGTTGGGGAGGGGTTTGCAAGAATCTGGAAGCTTGTGGGTTTTTTTCTGCATTTTTATGATTTTCTGTGACCATTGGGCCACTCTGCTGTTTTTTTAAAAAAATTCTGGATTTGAATTTCTGTGTGCTGGGTGGCGGGGGGAACAGTTGGAGATGGGTTTGCAAGAATCTGGAAGCTTGTGGTTTTTTTCTGCATTTTTATGATTTTCTGTGACCATTGGGCAACTCTGCTGTTTTTTTAAAAAAAATTCTGGGTTTGAATTTTGAAATGCTCTTTACAGTATGTGTGACTTTAAAGAGCACTTAATAAACTCTTGTTGTACCAAATTTGGCTTTGTTTGGACTTTTTTTGACCATAGGAACGCATTAATTGATTTTCAATGCATTTCCTATGGGAAACCGTGCTTCGCAAGACGAAAAATTCGCTAGACGAAAAAATTTGCGGAACGAATTAATTTCGTCTTGCGAGGCACCACTGTACCACACAAAAAAGAAATAAAGATCATACCAGTGATGCTTACAATTACATTGTAAGGCAGGCCATGCTTATCATCACCCTCGTCTTGCAAACACAGAGACTAGCATAAAAGAATGGCTTAACTTGGGCCTGTTCGTGTTTGGTTTAGTGTTGAACACAAAATTGGGGGTGAACAGCACCTTCATTTCCTGGCTGTGGGGCAGGGATTGCAAATGTGATGCTCTGCAAATGTTGTGGACTGCAACTCCTGTCAGCCCCAGACAACATGGCCAATGGTCAGGAATGATGGGAATTGTAGTCCAAAACCTCTGGAGGGACCATGTTGGGTACTCTAGAGGCACCTGGCCGGTTGCTCTTGGAAATGGAAAGTTGGACTAGATGGGCCCTTGACCTGCTCCATAAAGACAAGGACTATTTTCATATATACTGACCAGCCTTTTGGCTTTGAAAGCACCAGGTGCCTATTCTATAGGAAAGGAGACCATTCAATTGATACCAGTGCTCGCAGCCAGCATACCTCTCCTTTATGGCTGTTGTCACTCACACTGTCTACTCACCCTTTCAATTTCTCCTCTTGTTCACCGCATAGGACTTGTAAGTAAGGAAAACAAATGAGAAATGGCAAACTTTATGAGTACATTCTTTTGGACGGCCTTTTATACGTGTCAGTTTGATTACACAAATGGAAAGGGAAGGATGTTGGATGGATGAAGAGGATGTATGCATTGACATTTGGCACTTTTTACTTGTGATGAGAAAAGAAATGAATAAAAATGGTAAAGCCCAGCGATGACCCCCATTTATGTCAATCTCTATCTGCCTAAGAGTTTAACTATCATGGGATTGCTGGTGGTGGAGGGAGAGAGAGAATGAGAATTTATTACGGCTGTATCCTGCAATGACCTTTTGCTTCCTGAGTGATAGATCAAGAGTGGAGATAAAGGTCATGTCATAAGACAGCTATCAAATCCTTCCATTAGCTGATCATCTGTATTATTTAGAAAGTCCTTTTCTGAAAGGCACCCTTGGATGTTTTGTAAAGGCACTCCAATGAGAACAAGGCAACACAACTACGCCTAAGGAAAACAAACCCAGTGTGATTTGCCAGAAAGAACAACTAAATAACATAAAATATATGCTGTGTAGATAAAACGGAGCAGGGACCAAAATAACAACAACAAGAATGAGGAATCAAGAGTCCAGAAAAGTCTCCAGGTCTTTAAGAGGTGTTAAAAGCTGGATATTGTCTTTGCCTCTTGAACTACCCAGGGAAGCACATTCCAAAGGGCAGGTTCTACAACGGAGAATGCCTTCTTCTTTCTTGAACCAAGCGACAGTCCTCTGGTCATTGAATGAGCAGCATGGCTTCTTTGGAAGATATTGAGACTTGGCTTAGCATGTACTAGGGAAGGCAGGTGGATTTAACCAAAGCAGCTAAATGGGTAGAAGAAATACCCTTCTGACGATTGGATGCTGAGCATGAACAACAGAGGCATGCTGTTGACTTCAGACCTTCTTGAAAAGTTCCTCATTGGGGATAATGGGATAGGTAGTCGAACAGCCTTTAGGACTACAGGTCCCCTTTCTGAGAAGTAGTTCTTCTTTAGCGCAGATTGATCTCTTTCAGTGGGTATAATCTATTCCTATTTCCAGAGGAGAAGGAACTCCTTTCTAAACATTGTCTTTTTAGCTCCATCTTGTTTCGCTAGAGAAGATGTTACAGGAATTGATTCTGTAAGTACTGTTAGGCTCAGTCCACCATACTTTTCTTTCAGTATGGCTTGCATGAGTCCCTCCTCCTCTTTTTCTATGAGCTTGTATATAAATCAGCCAAACCAAGGCAAGCCTACTTGGGTCAAAAAGCCATGCCCATCTGGGAGTCTGTTTAACTAATCATTTAAATTGGGGGGCAAGAAGAAAGGGTAAAAACAATAAACAACGTTCAAAGCTGGGTAATTAGGGGACCCATTGAAATCAGGAAACTGGGACAGCTCGAGAGGAACAGGAAGAACAGAGCCTGCTTTTACACATCTTAGTCAATTCATTAGTGGAAATTTGGAAAGAAATCAAACACTCTTGTTATTGCCTGTCTGAATGAAACAAAGCACTGTTGGCATTTGTTTCTGCTTGATGGTATTTTTTTTTAAAAGGACTCAGAAAAGCGCGAAAGATGTGTTCTATCTGTAGCTATAAAATATTCATAAAAGTAGTCAGTTCTGTCGCTTTTGGGGCTATAATGTTTTATCACATATGGGGCTATAGGGGAATGATAAAAGCAGGCTGTTCTGTCACTTATGGGGCTCTGGGGAGCAAAACTTCTGTGAATTGGCCCTGCACATTGACCTCGAATGTAATTTGTGTCTGTTGGGTACATGTGCTTAAGGCTATTGATTTGACTGGATTTGATTGGACTGAGTGCAGGGTTGTATTTTAGTGCTATAATCCATCAAAGGAAACCCCTCTCCAGAAGCAGCCTTCTATGCATAAATTCTCCCCTGGAGCGGCTTTGCACATGCCCTAGGGTGCTGTGCTGGTGGTTTCTGTTGCTGTGTCTAGCTCTTGGGTCCACACCTGACATTACCTTTGCTGGACTAGATTATGTTCTTTTGAGCATTTATCATCATTTGCTTCTACAAGGCTTATGTGGAGGTTAGACTATGCATGGTCTTTCCTGAGGATTTGTTCTGATTTGTTTGTGGAATTGATATATAATAAAAAATTATTATTATTAATTAAATTTGTATACCGCCCTATACCCGTAGGTCTCAGGGCGGTTCACAACATAAAATTACAATATGCAAAACACAAAATACACATCATCCTGATATGCTTGTGGGATGATTCCCCATTAATCATTCACTCATCCCACACTTTTCAGTGCTCGCCATACCACTTTCCTAACAGCAAAAGGTCAGTTTCTTTTTTAAAAATGTAGATTGTTTCGCTATGGTGACAGAGTGCTTTAATTCATTTTAATTGTGTTTGTCTAAATTTCTGGTATGAGCTTGTCTCCCGCCTGCAAAATAGTGACAATCTGGAGGCAGGCTGGCACCAAACACACAGTGAGGAATTAGGGATGGGGAGAAATTTGATTCAGCTCACATTTAAAGGTGAACCTCTCTTATTCATAGAATCATAGAATTTTTGAGTTCGAAGGAACCATGAAAATCACCTAGTCCAACCCCCTGCAATGCAGGAATCTTTTTGCCCAATGTGGGGCTTGAACCCACAACCTTGAGAATAAGAGCCTCATGCTCTACCAATTGATGTACTTTCCAAAACAATACATGAACCAAAAGGTAGCCATCCTTTTGAAATTTGCACTTCTCTGAATTTTGCAAGGCAGTTCTCCAGCAGGTGTGTGTAAAAATTCACATACTGAGATAAACTTTACATTAAAGTGCATAAAATAGTGAAAATAACATACATAATGCATGGTATTAGGCACAATTGCATAGCTCTAACTGTGGTAACTGAGATTGGGGGTGCCCCAATCATACTTGGTTTCAATCCCCGTCGCATTTCCTGCTGTGAGATTCCAGACATGTTTCTCATTGATAATTTATTTATTTTCTTATTACTATTAAAACCCATCTTTTGAGCTCATGGCTTTGCCCCTCTTCATATTATCCTCGCAACAACCTGGTGAGGCGGGTTTGGTGGAGAGGTAAAAAGAGAGCTGGTGATTGGCCCAAGGTCACTCAGTGTGCCGAGTGGGGATTTGAACCCTGGTCTCCCAGGTCATAGTCTGGCACTCTAACCGCTATGGCACACTGGCTCTGTGTTCCAAATGTGTGGACCACTGGAAAGTAGGTGGTGGTGAGGTAGTTGCAATGGAAAAGCAGTGATAGAGAAAGGGTTAGGTGCACTCCAAATCTTTCTCCCTGAAAAAGGCCTCCTTTTGATTGCTGCTGTGTGAGTATAAGTGAAGTGGTTTGGGAACACTCAAAAAGCGGGATATAAAATTCAGAGTATTGTGTTTATTATGTCTATTTCTGTATTAAAGGAGAACGATGGAGACAGGAAGAAAGGGGAAAAAATAGTAAGGAGTGGCTAGATGCCAATGCTGCAGCGAAATTAAAATCTCATTCCAATATATTATAATAAAATATACATTAACATTTAAGTTTGATGTTAAGGGACGTAGTTTAGTTCTATGAGGCTGGAGTGAAGATTTTTATACGGAGGAATAAATCTTGCAAAATATACTCAGCTGGGCTTTTTGAATAGAAATAGAATATTAGTGGAAGATGGGGACACAATAGATTACCAGATTTTTGTGAACTGACTGATATTAACATGCTTCTGAAATGTTAATTTATATTTCCATGAGTAGGAGCTGGAGTACAGACTTAAAACCTGCTAAAGGATTAGAATATGAAACAAGGGGAAATGGGATTTTGCTGTAAACCTGAATTGCTCAGCAGGCTTTTGAAACTGGAACCCATCCAGTCTGACAGCTACAGATTGAAGGCAGCTTCTCACGGTACTTTTCCTACGTACTCAGTCTGCCCGAGTTCAGTGCACACATGCTGCCATGTTTGCGCACGTTTCTTGGTGTGTTTCACCATTAAGATTGTCTTCTTCACCCTGCGTTGGACCACAGGCTCACCTTGTGCCCTTTGAGTTTCCCCATCTTTGGCTCCAGCCTCCTAGCACCCCTTTTAAGCAGGAAGAGGATGTTGGCAAGCTGATGGACTTCTTCTGCTGAAAGCTCCTTTGCATTTATGACTTGTGTACGTTTTTTGATTTTTCTTCTCTCTCCCTGAGGATGCTTCCTCATGGGAGGTTCATTGTGAACTTGGTGACACTCCTGCATGCAAGCTTCCCCCCTTCTAAACACCATCCCATACCCCTTTCCCATTTAATCCTGAATTACCGTTTCCACGTTTGTTTGATTTATTGGATTTCCCACAGAAATGACAAATAATAGGTAAATAATATGGTATGGCATTTTGATGAGGACAATGTTATGTGGATGCTGCACAGAACATGCAGGCGTGAACATCGCCAAGTCCCCAATACACTCCCCTGTGGAATGCCCTGAATCCTGCAAGCTTGTTTATTTTTTATTTATTTGTCAGATTTAGATCCTGTCTATCCCCCCAAAGGAGCCCAAGGTGGCAAAAGATGAAAACAGAAACAAAGTGAAAACATTATCAGACAGTTAAAGCAGTCGAAAACCAATGCCAGTTACAAAGCCCCTACAAGCAGCTACAGTTAAAAACGTTCTTCCATCCCTTGATCTCAGGGTTACCAGGAACCGTATTCTTTGCTTGCCATATGCATGGGGAAGCAGGACTGTTTTCAAAACCCTCCTGATATTTAAGAATGACGGAGACAGGTGCGTCTCACTAGGGAGGGCATTCCACAGCTGAGGAACCACCACTGAGAAGGCCCTGTCAAGGCTCAGTTCCTCGGTGATGGCACCACCAAGAAGGCCTCACCCACTGGTTGTAGGGTCTGAGATGGTTGGTATCTGATAGTTGGTTTGTCTGCCCTTCCTCTTTCCCCTAGATTCCTGTGCCGCCCATGTATCAGGTTTCTCCCTGACAAAAAACCACAACACAACACACACAAGTGGCAGATGGGAATGGTACCCCCACCTTGGACTGCTTCATTTTAAAAGATTTTAGTGTTAGCAGTTTTAGTGGTTAACAAAGTGAGCTTTGAGCTTGGAAGTCCCTAGTGCAAGTGGATGCTGTCAAGCCACTATTCGTCAACCTTCTATCTAACATGGGGATGATAATACAGTTTCAAGGCTACTGTCATCTCTGTTCCAACCAGTCAAGAAATATGCTATCAGGATTCAGGCAGAAGTCACTAAGTAGTTTATCAGCAAAGGGGTGAAGCTGCTTGATCCTGAACCACATGGCATATTCTGCCAGCGGAGGGAGGGAGGGAAAGATGGATGGATTAGTTTGAGGCAACAGGGAAGAGAAGGGGAGGGGAAAGTCTTTGCTGTTGCCAAGGTAATACATATTATCTCAAATGGAGATGCTGGGAACCATGTCTGCAGTTCACGGTTCCCCCCTCTCACTGCAGTTTCCTACCCAGGTAGCCTGCCTTCTACAGGGAGTTAAGCTGGGAGTTCTAGAGCCCCCAATTGCCCAGAGATCCTTCAAAATTTGAATGGTGAATGAACAAAAGATAAATCTGCATCTATAAGAAGGTTTGAATATGAGGGGAAAGACTATGATCCTGTGTATAGGTGGGGTTTTCTCCATCTTTCCAGTGATTGTTTAAGCCTTTCTCTCTATTCCTACCCTTTTCTCAGCATGTCATTCTTTTCTGTTACCCTGGATTGAATTTCTTGCTCCCAGGTACCTTCTGTTTCCCCTCTGATTGTCTCACTTATTTGAAGTTCCTGGTGATGTGTATACACACACACACACACACGGTGGTACCTTGGGTTAAGTACTTAATTCGTTCTGGAGGTCCATTCTTAACCTGAAACTGTTCTTAACCTGAGGTACCACTTTAGCTAATGGGGCCTCCCGCTGCTGCCGTGCTGCCGGAGCACAATTTCTGTTCTCATCCTGAAGCAAAGTTCTTAACCCAAGGTACTATTTCTGGGTTAGCAGTCTGTAATCTGAAGCGTATGTAACCTGAAGCATATGTAACCCGAGGTACGTGTGTGTGTGTGTGTGTGTGTCTGTGTCTGTGTGTGTATAAAACTGAACCACCTCTTAAGGCACCTGTGTTACTGATCGGTGCCTGTGGTCGACATCATTTCTGCCATGGTTGCTGCATCTTTAGCAACTGCAGAAAGCTTCTTATCACTGCATCTTTCAGCTGGGAAAAGCTTCTCCAGTCAAATTTAGGCCATGCAGCTATCGATGGCAAGCATTTTACCAGCACAAAATCTTCATATATAAGCAGATGTATGTAGGTCTGAAGCATTAATGTGAAATATTGAGATGTCTGGAAAGATTGGAAAGCTTATCTTCAGGATACGCTTCTTGTCTTCAGGATCTTCTTTGCACTCCATAGTATCTTCCCACCTTGCAGCCAAAACATTAGGGAGAGGGCCTATCTCCTTATATGCAGGGATTTAAAAATAAAAATAAAAATATGTGAACATTCAAGCACGAATTCCCTAACCTGCTTCCCAAAGTGTTATAACCTAGGACAGGGGTGGCTAACCTGGTGCTGTCCAGATCAGTTCAGTGCAGTTGCCGGGGGGGGGGGCAGGCAGGGACAAATCTGCCTGTCCTACACCCCCTAAGTGAACTTGTTGCCAGTGTTGAAGTAAGGTTTAACTGCTGGTCTGGTTGCCTTCAATGTGACTTTGTGTGTGTGGAGGAGGGAGAAGATGTTTTCTGCCTTAGGCAACAATATGTCTTGGGCCCGCCTTGTTCGGGGTTTCTAGCTAATCACTTCCATTTACCCTGACCACTGGGCATGCTGACTGGCACTGATGGGAGTCGAAGTCAAACAATATCTGGAGAGCAGCAGCTTAGCTACCCTTGCTCTAGAAAAAAACAAAAACATGTTCTATTTGATTCTGTTGCATGCATAAACTACAAGCTGGCAAAGTTTCCTCTTAAGTATAATATTTGCTTCACCATTCTCCGTGGAAATCATTGATTTTCTGCAGAGGCACAGTAGACAACAGGACCTGAAGAGGGCAGTAAAGATATGTCATTCTTTTCATTGCATTCACTGTCTTGATTGTACATTGTGTCAGGAAACTGCACCTCTGGCCAGCACACCTTCTGAGGCGTTAAACATTTCTGCAGCTATGCCGTAGAAAATATATTGTTGGGTCAATGAAATCTTTTGTCACGATTTATCCACCTAGATCTCACTCCTTCACATGACAATGCAGAATTGGAAGCCTTGTCCATCACTCATTTTCTGCAAGTAGCGGGTGGATAATGAATCTCCTAAGCCAGCCAGAGTTCAGCCGGGTCATCCGCCTGAGATAAGATCATCATTTAGTTCTGCAAACGGATGAAAGTAATAATTTTACAGGTTGCCAAGAAATGAAATATGCTATTTTCATACTTTGTCTTAACAATTTCAGAGAGGCCAAGTTCCCATCAGAAAAAGACCAATGGGATTTCTCTTGTAGGATGGAGGCTTAATTTTTCCAATCATTTGTCTTGAAAGCGGCTTGGCAGCTAGGTTTAAATGGAAAACGTAGGTAATCTTATATGTGAATCTTATAGGAAAGGAGGGGGAAAGGGACAAATGTACTTATAGAACAGCCTGAGTCAAAATACCTTATAAATTTGTTGGACAGAGTCTGCTGCAAACCTTTCCCTTAGAGGAAAA